TTAATATTAAGGAAAATTATTACCATTAAGCATTATTTTGTAATTGTTAATGTTAGATGTTAACTAAGTATTAAATGTTTGTGACTTTGCTACACCCTCACAGGGTCAATGTATGAATGCATGTATATCTGTATGTGCTGAATATGTTAATGCAAATGAATAAATAAATAAATAAATAAAAACAAATAGGAGCGAGCCACCACACATCACACATGTAAAGCTCACTCGCCTTCGTGAATTACAACAAGTTCAAAGTACCTAAGTATCTTAATTTTTATCACGAATTCAAAACATTGAACTTTTTAGGTACCTACATACAATAATTGACACTACAAGAAATCGAACCCAAAACACACACATAAACCCACCACATCAGTCCACAAAAACAAAACCACGCAGTTCCATCCCATTCAACTTTTATATTTCAACCCCAACTTTCCGACTAAAACAACCCTTCAATGGCTGGGTAATTAAAAATTACACCAGCCTGAATTGGGGGTGAGAATGAACCTGAAGCCTAAAACTTGGCCATTCAGGCGGTCTAAGAGGCCATTACACCTGGATACTGCATTTTGTAGGCGTAGGGTTAGCAAGCAACGTTTATTTCAGTTATATTTGAATAAATAAGGGTTACGTTATTTCCTTTTGAGGTACCCGGGACCCTTAAAACAGTGGTAATTAACTTGATAATTGTTAATTTTATTTATAAATCGAAAAATAATTGATATAACTAAAGGTTCGGACAAACCAACGCGATTACAGCGCGATCAGCCGGCGTGCAGCGATGGCGATCAATGCATTTAGGTCTGGTCGCCATCGCTGCACGCCGGCTGATCGCGCTGTGATCGCGTTGGTTTGTCCGAACCCTAAGTACCCAAATTATTACCAAATTAACGTTTTCGTATATTTTCCAAGGAGTTGGCAAAAACTCAACAAAACGACTGGGGTCAAAAGCTGTCAGTTACATGGGCAGATTTGCTATGTTGCCAGCCCTGTAGACTAGTGGTTTGTTTTTTGTTGAGTATTTTTAAATTTTTATTATATTTTCCATATTATGTTAGTTTAAGGTTTTCAGTTATACATTTAATTTTGCTAATTTAGTAACTGTAATCAAATTAATAATTACTTTCATGACCCTTATTAATTTTTCGATGAACCTCGTTAATATCGAAAGCCCTTACGTTAATAATCACATTACCTCCTTTGTGTCGCGCAGTCGGGTAAATATGAACCTTTTTCATACCATCTTACCTCAATCCGCCCACCTGGTAACCCTACTTGGTATACAAGGGTTATTTACGTCCATTGTAAGAGCCGATTGCTCGCAGTCGCCAATTTGGTTATGTCGCCTGCATAAAGATCCCGTCATTATTTATCGACGATCGTTAAAGAACCTCCTCCTTTTTTTAAGTCGGTTAAAAAATATTGTGCATTTTCCGCGGGAATGGCTTTAAATTTTTAGTAGTTTTTCGTATAATACATTTCCGTGAAATATAGCTTCTGTTTATGATTTTTAGGAGGTAAAAATGCACACTGCGTTAAATGCAGATAAGTAGTGAGTATTTTTTGGTTGAGTACGCAATTTGTCTTCTTTGCGTGAATGGACAAAATTTAATAAAGGTAATTGTATTGTACACCTTTATCTCCGCCATTAGATTATTATTTGGCTCGCCTACGCACACAGCACGACCTGCCCGCACCACGGTCGGACGCCGAATGCCCCCACCGCTGACTGGGCTGTGACGTATGCGCTCGAGACAAATGTCTATACACTACATCCCTTCCTTGTTTTAATTTGAAATAAATACAATTTATTATTTAATTAACTTTTGAGGCGCTTCTTTATTAGGCGCTTTGTTTTAATCATTTGATCATTATTGCTTCACTGTTTTACTATTTTCAGTATCCATAATATTGCTATTAGCTTCTGATTAATCACCCTCATTCTGGTCCATCACTTTCCATTGTCCTAGTACTCTTATTTTTTTTTTTTAGTTTTGTATGTATTTGAATATCCTCCTATACTTTTAGTTACTGTGTGTAATGTCGCGATTCAAACTCAATTTATTTTCTCTAGTCATATTTTTAACACGCTTTTATTAGGTCGACTTGCAAGTCTTTTAACGATCTATGTAATAAAGTCTAAGAATCTGAATTACACGCACTTCTGATGATACATCATGAAAATTGGCAATTAAATGTACATTTATATGACAATATAATACTATGGTTCCATCGAGNCAAAAGCATGTTGTCGGCTAACTACCCACAGCTTCGTTAATATCGGTTATATACCCTACCCTACTTCTGTCGCAATAGCCCCTATAATGGCCTCGTGATCGTTGCCAAGTGAGGAATCCATTTTCCTACCTCGCTGACCAGGCCAATAAAACTTTGTAGTTCTGTGATGTTGGTCGGTGCTCCAAAATCATTATTAACTACAATATTTTTTCAGAGGGATGACTCCATGTTCGTGTTCAAGAAACTGAACTTTCGTATTAAGATATTCACAGTTTTCTTTTGACCGACAACATTATCTATAGTAATGCTTGTATGTGACAAGTGTAGAATCTCCATCCAGGGTTACCTACATGGAATATTGCAGGAGCACATGTAATTCCATACATCATCAGCATGTTTATGAATGAATAGTCCCTTTCGAGTTATGTATGAGCTCCAGGTGACTATTCAATCTCTCCTCTCTAACTTTAAACAGTGTCTGATTTATTTTGAGAAATGTATGATTTTCTCACTTGATAGCTGAACTTTCTCTACTGATATTATATTATAATACATAATATAATATGCTTACATAATTATGTGCCTGGATGCCGGCGGCGCAGGACCGGTCTTTCTGGAAATCCTTGGGGAATGAACGAACGATATACTTATCTGAATATCTCCCATTTCCATATAAATCTAGAGAAATGCCAACCAATGCGCTGATTTCGAAACCCAGTGTCGCGTTAGAAATTCATACACACAAAGTAATCAAAATAAAAACAATACTTCACGAAGAGTGTGTGTCATGCACAGAATGCACACATTGCATTCAGTACGAAGTGCCTGATTTATTGTGGGAAATGTATGATTTTCTCACTTGATAGCTGAACTTTCTCTACTGATATTATAATTATTATAATACATAATATAATATGCTTACAATTATGTGCCTGGATGCTGGCGGCGCAGGCCCGGTCTTTCTGGAAATCCTTGGGGGAGGCCCCCGTCCAGCTGTGGACGTCCTTCGGCTGAAACGAACGAACGATATACTTATCTGAATATCTCCCATTTCCATGTAGATCTAGAGAAATGCCAACCAATGCGCTGATTTCGAAACCCAGTGTCGCGTTAGGAATTCATACACACAAGGTAATCAAAACAAAAACAATACTTCGCGAAGAGTGTGTGTGTCATGCACAGAATGCACACGATGCATTCAAGACGACTATTCGTTGCCATAGTAATGTACGTACGTAGCATACAGCACCACTACATACGCAGTCAATTACGATTTTTTTTTTTGTTTGGTTGTGCTCATTATCCACTCAATGTGCTCAACGTCAGTACTCAACACAATATCAGTAGATACTCATTGTGCGAATAATATTTTGTACTACGCAAGCAATAAGTATAAACTGTTTATTTATATACATAAAACGTCAACTTCATGGCACATTGCTGTCGCGAGCAATGTGTTCTGTTTGGCATATTGCTGCGTCACTGGCCATGCGTCTTTTTCACATCTCGCTTTAATTTTTTTTTTTTTTTNGATTAAAACAGAATTACTATGGAATCTACGTATGGTTTGATAAATGAAAAGTTTTCGTACATTTAGTTGTTTTACTTTCTCATAGAGCAACGTTGTGGGGTGTCGAATTGGCAGGGACATGAGAACTTTTAATACTGCCCTTTGAGCTCTTTCAAGCTGGAGAAAGTGTACTTGAGCAGATCCTCCCCAAATGCAGATACAATAACACAAGACAGATTCACCTAGCGCTTTATAGATTTTAATCAGGAGAGGGAAATCAGCTACAGTTCTAAGGTTTTTAAATACAAACATTAACTTTCTAATACGTCCGGTAATAAGTGACAGATGTGATTCCCAATTCAAGTGTTCATCGATCATGATGCCCAGATATTTGATGGTATTGGTACGAATTAGAATGGGGCAATTACATCGCAAAGGAGTGTTGGTCTCTATATTACAAGGGTAGGTGTGTATTGTCATCGAGAAAGTGTCATCAGGCCGGCCAGAATTAGTTATGCTAAAGCAGATATATTTGGTTTTGCTTGTGTTCAAAGAGAGCAAACTATTTTCGAGCCAGGTAGTAACCATTGAGAGGCCACTTTCAGCGCATTGCTTGACATTTTCCCATGAAGATCCATGAAATATGAGGGCTGTATCATCTGCAAACATCAATATGCCAATGTCGAGTGAAAAATATTGACATAGTTATCAATAGAACGTGGGTGTTTCAGTTCTATTGATTTTTCATGGATTCCGTGGAGTTAAGTATGCCCGTAAGCAGGTTTCGAGACGCCACCGGGTCCAAAGCGGGTTGTTCATACGACAACCCACTCGACACTCGATGCGCGCTCAAATTCGAAGTATTTCAATGTTTTTTATAATTTATCACTTCACTGCACTTTAGAACACAAAATAACACCAAATTTGTACACTGAAGTCCATTAAATAATAAATTGAAACCATTAAAACAGATCGACCATGCTTCCCGTTCAACTACCCTCCACGGAATCCAAAACATGTGTTGTTTTGGAAATGGGCGCACGTCAAAAGGACAGTGACAGTGACAGTCACAGATTACGTTAAGTTAATCAACACATTTAAAAAATAATGCAAAGACTATTTATCTACGATTTTATGGACGTGTTGTTTTGAATGGTAACAAAATAGTCAAAATGGAACACGTCGCTCCCTTGAAAAAGTAAAATGTCAAATAGAAAAGCTGTCAAATTTGATTTTATAACCTAAAAAAAATGTTTTTGTCGAAAAATTGTAATAAATATTATTTAAAATATTTAAATTCACTTGGAAAATGGACTTGCGCGGTCCGTGTACGTTCAAAGAGTTCGGTTGAACCCAAGACAAAAGCTTATTCACATACCATTCTCTCGCCTAAAACAAATTTTCCAGCCCGATCTAACAATGCTAAAAAAGAGGAAATTGCAAAGGTAATTCAGTGTTAAAATTATATTTCTTAGCATAGAACTCTTAAATGATGCTTTAGGTCCATAACCATGCCAATTATCTGCAAATAAAGTGTAATTTTGATGTCAAAAATGTATTTCAAACTATGGAGTATTTTTATCAGATAGCGCAGTTTTCCGAGCTCTACAACTGGCAAAGAGAACATTTGAATGGTCCAGAATTCGTATTACATGATGGCCCGCCATACGCCAATGGAGATTTGCACATGGGTCATGCAGTAAATAAGGTAAACTTTAAAAAAAAATTTTTTTCATGCATATTGCACTAATTTATTGTTCATATTATAATGCATAACTAATGCACTTATCACTGATAAGAACACTTACGCCTTATGAAAAGGGAATCCCCAGAAACACAAAATAAAAACTCTTTATGAAGAGTTTAGATACTAATTTATAATTTTCCGGGGATTCCCTTTTCATAAACACTTAAATAAGTAAGCCATTACCTATTTTGATACTTTTCAGATAATAAAAGACATAAACAACAGAAGTCAGGTGCTCCAAGGAAATAAAGTACATTACATACCTGGATGGGATTGTCACGGCTTACCTATAGAGTTAAAAGCGTTACAAAAATCCAAAGAAAAATCTACCGATGAGACTAGCCCAGTTCAAATAAGAGAAACGGCTAGAAAATTCGCTTTGAAAACAATGAAAAGCCAAAAGGAGGAATTCAAAAGTTGGGGCGTTATGGCTGATTGGGACAACCAGTGCTACTTGACGTTGAATAAAGATTACGTTCAAAATCAGCTGAGACAGTTTTATAAAATGTATACGTCTGGATTGATATTCCGTGCCTTGAAACCTGTTTACTGGTCACCATCATCTAAGTAAGTGATTTTTTTATTAGTTATAATAGTTTTGTTCTTGATTTTTCACAAGTAGCTTGCCTAGCAGTTGAGTATTTAATTATAATTTAAAATAAATATGAAATTGCCCTGTAGAAAAGTACTCTGGGTTGGTTTTTCTTGATCAATTGGTAGCTGTCCCATTAACTTGAATTTTAGGGCACAGGGTCTCTAAAAACCAAATATTATTTAAGTTCTAAATCTGAGTAACTAATTTAGTAAACCTAGTTAGTATTGGTACACATTAATGCATGCAATTACACACAACCTAACTCTACTTCTAGTTATAAAAGACAATTAATTTTCATTCAAAGCAAATTTTTTGGAGGACCTAAAACTCACAGGTAAGTAATGAACACTTGGTTTCTTTCAGAACAGCTTTGGCTGAGGCAGAATTGGAGTATGACCATCAATTCAAAAGCAAGGAGGTATATGTCACATTCCCTGTTGAGAAGTTGCCTCCAAAGCTACAGCATGCAGCATCAAAGTAAGATACTGATTAATTTGATAGTAACACATAAAATTATAAAACCTTGTTTTAATTAAACCACATAAAGGCATAATGGAAACTGTAGAAAAAGTAACTAAATTTTTTTGTAGTGTGCCTTATGTGCCAAGCATAGTATTAAGGCACATTGAATGCAGTATTATGCTCCATTCGGTGTCAGTTTATAACTAAAACTAGCTTTCCGCCCGCGGCTTCGCCCGCGTGGAATTTTGTCTGTCACAGAAAAACTTTATCGCGCGCGTCCCTGTTTCAAAAACCGGGATAAAAACTATCCTATGTTCTTTCCCGGGACTCAAACTATCTCTATGCCAAATTTCATCAAAATCGGTTGCGAGGTTTAAGCGGGAAAGCGTAACAGACAGACAGACAGACAGAGTTACTTTCGCATTTATAATATTAGTTGGGATTAGTTGGGATAATATATCTTTGTATCCACAATTTATCAAATACAAAGCTTCATTTTAGGTAATTTTTATTTGTGCACACCTTATGAGTAAAATTGTGTGAAATCCTCCTCTATTTCACTCTAATTGTTCCTCTCCATAAGTTAATCCACAGGACGTCCACTGCTGAACATAGGCCTCCCCCAATGACTTCCACATCGCACGGTTGCACACTCACTGCGGGCACCCTTCGCACAGTCGCGACAGCAATATAATTAGGTAGCTTGGGGTCATTGGACAAAATTCTACGTGCTCACAGACCGGGCTTTAGTCTTCTTTATTATTTTGCAGCCAAAGCATCCAAGCTATAATCTGGACGACCACACCGTGGACCCTCGTGGCCAACAGGGCCATCTGCTACGGTCCCCAGATGAAGTACAGTCTGGTGACATTAAGCAATAAGCCGGGACATTTGTACCTCATGGGCAGCGGCCTCATTGAGGGGCTGGAGAAAACTCTGGGAGCGGAGATTAGTAAAGTGCTTGAGTTTGATGGTGAGTTACATAGTTATGTTTCTGTTTTTCTTATTGAGACTGAATTTAGTTATTCTTCAATATAAAGTGACTGCTCATCAATTTCATTTGCCAGTAGGCTTGAAGTACTAATTCTGAGATATTTTATGCATTACGTATTTAAAAAGGGTTTTATGAATAAACTAGCTTTTTTCCTGCGGCTTCAGACGATTTCCCATGCCATGGCTTCTTAGCGCAATTTGAATTTTTCTTATACATAGGGGTTTTCCCCCCTAGGTTGTCTGGAAGAGATCGCATCATAGCGATAGCACGCCCTAAATTCTGCAGTTTCTTTTGTGTATTTTCTTTTCTTTTTTCGTGTATAAAGTGTCTAAAGCCTGGTCCGTGAGCACGTAGAATTTTGTCCAATGACCCCAAGCTACCCATCCTTATCGGTCGTGCGTAATTATATTGCTGTCGCGACTGTGCGACGGGCGCCCGCAGTGAGTGTGCGAGCGCGACAGCAACAAACAGAAACAAACTATCTTTCTACTAATCTATCTATATTTCTTAGGACAAGAGCTCGCCGGCACCACGTACAGAAACAAACTGGTCAACGAAACGCTGCCGTTTCTCGAAGGCGACCACGTGACCGAAGGCAAGGGCACCGGCCTAGTCCACACGGCGCCGGCGCACGGCCCTGAAGATTTCTTAGTCGCGCTGAAGAATAACATGACTGTGGTATGAATTAAAGGACGTAGCACGTATAAACTCGACAGAGTTAATACAAATGAGTAGGTCATCTTCATAGAAACGCACGGGCGCGATTGGTATGCGAGCGCGCATGACACACTGACAAAATTATTTTTATTTTTTATTTTATTTATCCACAACGAGTAATCCTGATGATTTAGTATTTACTCTGATCTCGAGGCGGTCAGTATTCTTTGTATGACTCCATACTGCGACGACATAAACTCCTCGCCTTGGGGTTGACAGCTCACAAAAGGCGATACGTTTTTAATCCCTTTCCGAGTTGATAAGTCTTCTATGACCTTTACTTTCCAAGGCATGCTAGCTCATTAACTTATGACCACCACTTATGAGCTGCGGGACACAATTTGTGTAAATCCCGGTCACTGAGCACGTAGAATTTTGTCCAATGACCCCAAGCTACCCATCCTTATCGCTCGCGCGTAATTATGTTACTGTTGCGCTCACACACTCACTGCGGGCGCCCGTCGCACAGTCGCGACAGCAATATAATTACGCGCGAGCGATAAGGATGGGTAGCTTGGGGTCAATGGACAAAATTCTACGTGCTCAGCGACCAGACTATAGAATGATGTATCATTCCTTTCAGAAATGCAACGTAGACGAAGCAGGTTGCTACATCAACCTGGATTCAGAGCTAAACGGTCTCCCAGTCCTCACAGCAGGCCAGGCTACCGTCATCCAACGCCTGGGTGACTCCATCATTCATCAAGGGACATACGTGCATTCCTACCCTCTGGACTGGCGGACGAAGAAGCCAGTCATCATCAGGGCTAGTCAACAATGGTTTATTGATACTGCTGCGCTTAAGGAGAAGGCTTTGGTAAGTTTTGAACATTACTCTCTTTTGTGTTGCGCAGTCGGGTCAATCTGGATCCAACAAGTATTTTGCAGCTCTCTTATTAGTCATAGTCATAGTCATTTATTCCATAAACAATAACATTATCGTATTGGAAATATTACAAAAAACATGAAAAATTAAAAAACATCAATCGATATAAAATCACAAATTATACAACACAGCATAAAACTTTAAGGACTTTAGTTCTTTTGATGCTACTTGGCCTAATGGTTGGGTATCGGACTATTATATTATGCCAGCGGTTGTGGCTTCGATCCCAGTGGCCTAATTCACGAATTGAACTTGAAACTTGACGTTTAGAAGTCGTTCTTTTGAAAGTTCTAAATCCGTATTCACAAGGGTCATTTCGATAGAACGATCACTCGATAGGATCGCAACTCAGCGATTTGTTGTCGCTGAAGTTTTGTTACGTGAATAAGGCTACTGTACAATACCTAAAATACAAACATATTAGTGTGTCGGTTTTCTATTATAATATTATTTACAAAAACACGTAAGGTTCGTAACTATTTACTTTAAACAACACTAGCTTTCCGCCCGCGGCTTCGCGCGCGTGGACTACATTATCTACATATTTTACGGAACCCTATTTTTTTCCAAAATAAAATTTAGCCTATGTTACTCGTGGATAATGTAGCTTTCGAATGGTGAAAGATTTTTTAAAAACGGTCCAGTAGTTTTTGAGCCTATTCATTACAAACAAACAAACAAAGTTTTCCTCTTTATAATATTATTGTAGATTACAGAGTGAAGGTACGCACAAAATAGGTACAATAATTTGCATTGATTTTAACTGACTGACTCACTTTCAGAAACTTCAAGTGCTAGGAGTCTCAAATTTTGCATGGGATCCTTTCAGAACATAGGTGCTCACTAAAAACGGATTTTACGAAACTCCACCCATAAGGGGGTAAAACGGGATTCACGCGTACGAATCTGCGGGCGGCCGCTAGTACAGAATAAAGATACAGAAAGCAAATAAAAAATAAATTTATTATTATTAATTTATAAAAACTTTTTTCTTTGAATTTGCACTTTTTCACTATGAGCAAGTCTGTACCTTTACAAAAACTAAAAACCAAAAAAGTTTTTCCTCTGACTCGTGAAGGATTTGAACCTCCGCCCTCCGATGGTCAAGTGAATTCTTATATCGGCGCTCTAACCTACTGAGCTAACGAGTCTTGTTCGATACAGACGAAAACTGGCTTTGGTTTCGTAAATATGACGTCACCATAACGTCAGTTTGTGTTCCTGGCGCAGTGCGATGACTCCTCGCGTTATAATATGGGTCGTTTGGAATGTGGGCTTTAATGCGTGGTGATTAGACTGACTTTTGAATGTTATTGTGGGCGGTTTTTGTAGACAGGTGAGTCATGTGACCTTGCATTGTATATAGTACATAATTTAATGACAGCTATTATCTCTTATTATCACAAAACATAATAATCATGTTTGTTTATTTTCTGACTTAAAGGTGTTTTTAATGTCGTGTGGATTTCATTACGACGCGAGATTGCTTCGCATGGAAGTGTCCTTTTCAACTTACCAAAGAGGCAATGAAAACACCTAATCTGTGAATTGAAACAGGATGAGCATTAGATTTATAATTTAACCCAAAATCTCCAAAGCTTCGCCTTTTTACATACTGATGTTTTGTATCAAACATGTATAATTCGCTGTTACCTTGACTGGTTATTTTAAGCTTGCGATGCGGGGAGTTGATAAATACTCGTACTTATCGAATAAATATTTGGACGATACGTTTCTAACGCCCGTATTCACAAACGATGCTTGCTTAAGTGATCAAATCGAACACACAGTGTTGAATAGAGCTCTGTAATTGGTTCGTGTGTCACCCTGTGCGTCCACGCGCACTGTGAGACCTCATAGTAATGTTTGTGAATACGGGCGTAAAATTCACATGTTATTTATTACGCTTATAGCTGCACTTATTAGATAAGTGTAGGTGGCGCGTACACTTACTACAAGCTAACATAGTCCTCATGTCCCTCCCAGGCCGCTCTAAAGATCCTTCCACCTTCCTTCGGGGACCAGTCGCGCCAAGGGTTCATCTCACAAGATAGGCCTCCTTAATTGATTTTTATTGTCCGTGGTGCATAATACTAAACCTTTCTTTGTCACCTGTCATCCGCTTTGCAACGGAGGGAAGTCGAACCTTAACTTCGAACTCCTCCTATGTTCTTCTGATTAATTTCGTTGCGGGTCAAATGACAGTTAAACCAAATAAATGTTTTTCTTTCTTTCTTAAACTTTCCCCCGGGACATCTTGTCCTTCACTGGTTGGGTTTTTATTGGCGGTTAAGCTGTAGATCCTGGCTACACAGAAGTCGCAACGGTGGGAACGAGAGGTGGGAAACTGGGAATAGTCCCGAAGCTAATATAGTGCTTATGTCACTCCCAGGCCGCTCTAGACAAGGTGAAATTCCTTCCACCATCCTCCGGGGACCAGTCGCGCCAGGGGTTCCGTGCTCAGCTCGAGTCTGTACAGTACAACCTGTTGATTGAATGGTTGTTGCAAGCTAATATAGACCTTATGTCCCTGCCAGGCCGCTCTAGACAAGGTGAAATTCCTTCCACCATCCTCCGGGGACCAGTCGCGCCAGGGGTTCCGTGCTCAGCTCGAGTCTGTACAGTACAACCTGTTGATTGAATGGTTGTTGCAAGCTAATTTAGACCTTATGTCCCTCCCAGGCCGCTCTAGACAAAGTGAAGATCCTCCAGCCTCTTTTGCACTCAGCAGCTGGACTAATGATGATTTCGTGATTCTTTCAAGCTATTATAATATTATTGGCAGGTAGCTAATAGCTCATAAGATAGTCCTCCTTAATTGATTTTTATTGTCCGTGGTGCAAATCTTCTCATAAAGGTTACTAAACCTTTGTTTATCACCTGTCATCCGCTTTGCAACGGAGGGAAGTCGAACCTTAACTTCGAACTCCTCCTATGTTCTTCTGATTAATTTCGTTGCGGGTCCAATGACAGTTTAACTTTCACCCGGGACATCTTATCCTTCACTGGTTGCGTTTTTATTGGCGGTCAAGCTGTAGATCCTGGCTACACAGAAGTTGCAGCGGTGGGAACGAAAGGTGGGAATAGTTCCGAAGCTAATCTCGAGTCTGTACAGTACAACCTGTCGATTGAATGGTTGTTGCAAGCTAATTTAGACCTTATGTCCCTCCCAGGCCGCTCTAGACAAGGTGAAGATCCTTCCACCGTCCTCCAGTGACCAGTCTCGCCAGGGGTTCCGTGCTCAGCTGGAGAAGAGGCCATACTGGTGCATATCCAGGCAGAGAGCGTGGGGGGTGCCGATACCAGCCGTGTATGGAAGGGACAAAGTCATAGTTGACGAGTGAGTATACTTAGAGTAGGCGCACACCGTTGATTTTTCGTCGGCCGATAGTTTAGTCGGGCAGTTGATCAGTATGGGCCATGTATGGGAGTGCGCACACTACGCCGATTCGATTTGGCCGATTCTTCATACAATTTGAATTCGGGCACAACTATCGGCCAACTAAAAATCAACGGTGTGCGCCTACTCTTAGTCTTTTTAATGTCATCTGTAGGCATTTATCAATTATGCTTGATAAACCCATTATTTATTTTGTTTGTCATTTAAAATCATAGATAAATGTTATCGTGGCGAGCACCCTAGCTCGGCTGGTATAGATCGTTTCATCCACGAAGACGCGCCCCACCATTCTTCCGCTAATGTTTGAGTGTTATCGGTACACGCTAAATTATCCATGAGTGCACACGCACACTACAATAATGACGCTCGGATTGCTCGGATCAAACTCCCCGCACCCCGCGCTTCCCTCGAACAAAAATTAGTGGGGCGCGTCTTCGAGTTTGACAAGATCTATATTAGATCGTTTATGGTTGTTTCTATTACTCGTAATTGATATTTCAGAGCTAGCCTTATTTGTTTTTTGAGAGTAGGTATATTTTATGTATATTTATGATGATTAATTAGTCGCTCCTTACGACATCCACTATGAGTGGGCGTGGTGGTCCTATTCTACTCTGCCGAAATTACTTATTTATTTATTTAGAAACTCAACAGCTGTTTTACAATTTTCGTGTTAGTTTGAAGAGCCACCAATATGCCATGTAATGCGAACAGCTAGGGACTGGATTTCTCTGCCTGCTTCCGTCTTTCCTGAACACTCTAATAGGCACTAAAGCCTAGTTCGTGAGCACGTAGAATTTTGTCCAATGACCCCAAGCTACCCATCCTTATCGCTCGCGCGTAATTATATTGCTGTCGCGACTGTGCGACGGGCGCCCGCAGTGAGTGTGCGATGGATGGGTAGCTTGGGGTCATTGGACAAAATTCTACGTGCTCACGGACCAGGCTTTAGACATGCTCTGCATAAAAACAATATGAATAGATTGGCATGTCTTTATTTGTCTGAAAGCAGATAAAATTATCGTAAAATCTAATAAAAGTCCTTCATTTCCAGGCGCGTCATAGACAAGCTGTGTGCTCTCATGGACGAGAAAGGTCGGAACGTGTGGTGGACTTGCGACGTGCGCGAGTTGGTGCCTGATGATGTACTGGAGAAGCATCAGTTGAGGCCTGAAGACCTCACCAAGGGACAGGTGGGTAAGGTTTTAGTGTTGGGTGTGTCGTGTGTAGCATCGAATCGAATTTAAGCTACTGAACTGATGAACAATTATTTAGGATTTTTGTATGAAGAGCAGTAACGTACTGGCCATGAGTCTGTACCTGTAAATTAGTGTTCACAAATGCAGTCGGAGGCATAAATGACTAATTATTTTGTTGGTGATATGTATTTGATACCTCTGACTGCATTTGTGATCACTAAGGCTTGTTTATATCTTTTTAACGGCTTGACCGATTTTAGCGTGAGAGGTGTCGTTAGATTCGTCTTAATCGTGAGAGTGACACTAGCTATATTAAAATTGAAAAAATCAAAATGGCGGATTTTAGACGTCAAAATGTCTTACAAAAAATATTTTTCTCAAAATCTATGGAGTTGGGTATCAAAATAAAGAGTTTTTTAAGTAGCTTACAAAAATGTATAGTACTTAACTAAAAAGATTAAAATAAAATTATTATTGAAAAAACAAAAAACCCAACTGCGTAAAAATGAACTAGGTAAATAGATAAAAACAAGACAACTTACTGTTCGCAAATGCAGTCTTTTTTAAATATTTTTAAGAGGCTAATCTATTTATTGTTTTTGTGGGGTAAAAAGGCTATTAAAACATGAACAATTTCATCATTATTATGACATAAATGTATTTTCTTTCTTTATTGTGATGGGCATTGCTGTTGTGACAGGATAGCACTGCTCAGTTCACTTTTTATTTCCTTGTAATATTTATGTGCTATTTCTGTCTTTTTTTTGTACGCTCTATGTCAGTGGTTCTTAACCTTTATGTCACGAGGGACCATTTTACCAAAGGACAATGTTCATTTCTGGCCTGGCGTGGACAAGCTGCTAATGAAAATATGAATTTGCCAAAAATTTTTAATTAATTTTTAAAGTATTCACTTAGTGTAACTTTGTATCAATTTGCCTTTATAAAAATCCAATTTAAATAGTACTTTATGTGATAATTACAACTTCCTGTCTTTATCACTCATTTCAGTGTTGCCAAAATGAATCCTATCGGTAAGAATCGATTCATATCGATTGTTGTTCGACTATGACAATTATTATTTTTTTAAATACGTATTCATTAAAATGACATTTATAAAACCTTTTTAATATTCTAATAACACTACCAAAAATATTTAAATAACTAAATGAAATCTTATTTCACACACACCTCATTATACACCTTATTTCGAGTCATCAAAAATACAATCGATTTTTATATCGATTATTTTTATTCATCACCACATTATTAGCATGGCAACACTGAAAATATTGTCACAGCTGTTATCTGTCATTCGCTTTGTTTTGTATTTTTCATCGTGAGTGTTGTTTAGTTCTCAAAACCAAGTTTTTGCCAAAATAAAAGCAGAAGAGTGTTGTATAAGTTTCCCTTTTGACATCTTTATTTTTTTGACTGTGGCTCTGCACCAATCAAGGACAAATAATATTTCAAATGAAGAAGCAACCTCTAGCACTGGTCACTGTTAACGTGGATTGTCTTTGTTACAAATACGTTCCATAGACTGCATATTAACACGGAAAGAGAATCACATATTCGAAAATAATGTAATAATGGAACATATTTCACCTCGTCAAGTAAGTTTTTTTATAATTATTTTCATTATATTTTATTAAAGACATTGGCTTGGTATATTTGAACAAAGTGTATATTTTTTTCTATACAAATACTTCTTACTGATAGATAAAAATTGACATCACATCACAATATCTTAAAGAATGAATTTTGAATGATACCATAATTAATTTCTTTGTTTCAGCTGCGGGGATCTGACCAAATATGTCATCCTTAAGTGGCAGTGAGCTGATCGAGCTGCTACACATGCTGTGGAGCCCCAACAAACACATGATGGGACGAGGATTCATTTGCCCTTATATTGGCCGAATAACAGTAGGTTGCTGTGCTCATGTTATGACAATTTTGTGGTTTTTGAGCTGGGCAAGGTATCAGGAACATGTATTTCCACCTGCCTAGTTCCTAGACAATATTTTATTAACCCATGAGTCAGATTAAAATAATAATAATAAAAAAAATGGTGTTTTATTTTGCTTCTAACCTTTCTAGTCTTAATCAAAAAAAATTTTTTTAAGGACTTGGATACAAAATGATATTTATATTCTGTTTCTTACTGGTATAGACTATTTAATAAATAACAAATTACATGCTGTAATGTCTGTCCACCTCAGGCCAAAGGTCCCATACTAAGTGGGCATAACCCTTTCTGTCTTGTCAGGGACCACATATTTTTTTCAAAATCCTATGAAAGGGGAGGTCGATTTCTCGTCCACTGTGCGCCGTTTGAGTTGTGTTGATTCGACTCATCACGTCACATCACTTGTTTATTACGATGTCTTCGTGGACCACTTGGAATGCCTCTAGGGACCACCAGTGGTCCGCGGACCACCGGTTCAGAACCACTGCTCTATGTCCTTAACTAAGTGGTGTTCATCGTAATAAATGTTTCTTTCTTTCTTTCTTTCTTCAGGACATCATGGACATCTGGTTCGATTCCGGCATATCCTGGAGTGCCCTCAACGGCGTAAAGGCCCAGCTATACTGCGAGGGCTACGACCAGCTCACTGGCTGGTTCCAAGCGGCCCTGCTGACTTCCCTGGCCCTTACTGGCGAGGCTCCTTACAAGTGAGTATCAACCTTATTGCTATAGCTGTAAGATTCATATTGTGACTTATAATAAGCTCGCTTGGTGATTCAAGCGTCTTTCTTTTCGGACGTGGCACATATCGGATTGGCGCCTGACAAGTAAGCTTCAACCTTATTACTACAGCTGTAAGGTTCATAGTGCCCTCAACGGCGTAAAGGCCCAGCTATACTGCGAGGGCTACGACCAGCTCACTGGCTGGTTCCAAGCGGCCCTGCTGACTTCCTTAGCCCTTACCGGCGAGGCTCCTTACAAGTTAGTTTTAACCTTATTGCTATAGCTGTAAGATTCAATTTTAGTCTCTCTGGCTCTTACTGAAGAGGTTCTTACAAGTAACTTTGAACATAATTTCAACAGGTATAAGGTTCATAATGCAATAAACTAATGAGCCTCTCACCTAACACTACGATTACTCACATATTGGCGAGGCTCCTTACAAGTTTCAACCTTAGTCCGACAGTTGTTAGAATCATATTTTGATAGACAGATAAATTCACAGGCTGTTTCCAAAATAATGTCCTTGTTGAAATGGCACTTACAAGCGAGGCTCCATATAAGTATAAGTTTTGGCCTTATTACAATAGATTTAAGATTCAAGACAATCAACACTAGGTTGTGAATTCACTGACTGTCCCTAATTGCTTACTAAAAAGGTTCTTTCCATAGAAGTTTCAACCTTATTACGACAGCTGTAAGATTCATAATGTAATCGACTGATTTTTAACCAACTTCAAAATAAGTAAGTTCTCATTGCATTTTATTTCCAGGTCAATATTCGTGCACGGTTTCGTAGTAGACGATAAAAAGCGCAAGATGTCGAAATCAATTGGAAATATAATCGAACCTGCGACCATCATTCATGGAGGGAAGGATAAGAACAATCAGCCGGCCTATGGAGTCGATGTCTTGAGGTAAGAAAACACTATTTTAAGGGTAAAAGGGGTAAAACAGACTGGTGAAGGTCGCGGGAGGTGACCGGTCTTTGTGGAAATCCTTGGAGGAGGCCTTTGTCCAGCAGTGGACGGCATTTGACTGAAACTAACGAAAAAAATTGTATAACTCGTGTCATGTACTAGCATCATAAAATTTTAAAAATCAGTGAAATCGAGAGTTAAATCCGACTGGGGTGGATCGAAAGAGAGAGAGAGAAACCCGACTGCTAAAGAATGGTAATTTTTATTTATTTGACTTACTGACTTAAGGTCCTATGTCCCCTAGATGGGGCAGAGGGCGTCCACAACAGTCCTCCATCGCGTTCGGTCTTGAGCTTCGCGTTTGATCTCGCTCCAGGTCTTGCCGATTTTATTCGCCTCGTCTGCTACAGTGCGCCGCCAAGTTTGCTTGGGGCGACCACGTTTGCGTTTTCCTTGGGGGTTCCAATCCAGAGCCTGCTTAGGGATGTAATCGGGGTCCCTTCGGAGAGTGTGGCCAATCCAGTTCCACTTGCGGCGCTTGATCTGCTGGTCGATCGGAATTTCGTGGCAATTATTTACAATGCTGTAATTTTTATTTTCCCTTTAGGTGGTGGGTAGCCAGTCACTCGACACAGCACTCTCAAATTGTGATCAGCAAGAAACTCTTAAACGACTGCCAGACAGAAGTCATCAGGCTGCGGAACATCATCAAATACCTCCTTGGTATCGTCACGGACTTGGACAAAGACCATTTTAGCCAACGACCAAAATTAAACTACTTCGATCAGTACATGGTTCGCGAAACTCATGATTTTTTAAAACAAGTTAACGAGCATTACAATAATTTTAGATACAATTCTGTAGCACAAAGTATACTCTATTTTATTAGTAACAAAGTATCTGGGCTTTATTGCCATTGTATTAAAGATAGGCTATACTGTTCAAGCAAAGAATCCAATGAGCGTATTTCAATACAGTTAGTCGTTCACACAATTTTGACGTCTATATCCAAAGCTCTAGGACCGATTATGCCGCATCTGATAGAAGAAGCATGGCAATACCATCCGCTGTATAAAAATCCATTCTATTTCACAAAAGATATCCCAATGTTGCCAGCCACAAATATTGATGCGTCATTAATGGATACAATTTTGGATATAAAAAAAGATATTTGTGTGATCACAAAAAATGAAAATTTAAAGAAGTTTAATGCGACCATAAAATTAGATTCAAACTTATTTAATAAGTTAAAAGAACTAAATGTGTCAGATGGCTCAAATGACAGTGTGCTGAGCGAAATATTGGAGCTGTCAAAAGTCAAATTGCAGGTTATAAATGGCGGGAAAAATTGGCTAATAGAAATAGAGGAAAGTAATGCGAACCAGTGCTTGAGATGTAGGAAATATAATGTGTATGACAATAGTGATAAGTGTGTACGATGTGATAATGTTTTGAACTCATTATAAGTATTATAACTAGATAATACAAGCACTATTATGTGGCAAGAGTTGAAAGGCGTCTGAATATTTCAAAAGCTGTAGAGTAAAATAACGTAAACAAAATGCATTTACAGTTATTGTAATTTTATTCTAATTTGTAGTAAAAAAACGAACTGAATTGAGAACCTCCTCCTTTTGTTAAGTCGGTTAAAATGAGACGTACGTGTACCTATTACAGAACGGATCATATTATATTGGTTGAATTTAAATATTTAGTGCCATCACAAGACAGAATAACACAAGGCAGAATAAATGACTGACATTGAATAAAATTTTGAGCTGCCTTCTGTAATACGGGCCTTAGCTAATTATAGTCTGGCCGTCGAGCACGTAGAATTTCGTCCAATGATCCCAAGCTACCCATCCTTATCGCTCGTGCGTAATTATATTGCTGTCGCGACTGTGCGACCATTATTTATTTTGAAATATAGAAATCAGTTTGTGATGCACTAACAGAAAATAGAATTTATATGCCTGATTTTTATTTATTTATTATTTATTTATTTATGGATAGACAACAGCACAATATCTGTTTAGGTTTGTGTAAGTCACTATGTTTTTGTAAGTTTTTGTAGGCCAATTATGACTATCCAACAATTTTGTTTTGACTTCTAAAATTTGTGTTGTCTGGTTTATATTAATATTTATCATAGATTTATTTTTATTTAATATTAGTAACGACAACGAGTAATAAAAACATAAAGTTTATAATTGTGTTTTATTATTATTATTATGCTCCTTGCGATAGTTAAAATCGCTTTATTTATAAAGATACACTACAAACAACTTTATAAGGGAAACGTTTAAAAAAATACCAAAAGGTTACTTTGACTCGTGAAGGATTTGAACCTCCGCCCTCCGATGGTCAAGTGAAAGCTTATATCGGCGCTCTAACCTACTGAGCTAACGAGTCTTGCTCGACGCGGACCAAAACTGGCTTAGCGTCCAGAAATATGACGTCACACGCCAGTTGATTCATTCACGAAATGAGCAAGCTTACGAATCGACGAAGATAGAACGAAAAATGAACTTTAAGAAGTGGGAATACGTATTACACTGGACTAACCTCACCCGTTTTATCATCGGAAGAAAACATTCATCGCTCATGTACAGACTACAGCATCATCAAGTTAAACTCAGGCACCGTATGCAGTTGGAAATAAAGGCTATTTTATATCGAAAATGTATTTTATAGTCTAATGTCCTGGCGTTTGTACCATACCGTCACCGTTCGTTGTGGAAATCCTTGGGCGAGGCCTTTGTCCAGCAGTGGACGTCATTTGTTTCGTAATAATTAATATAATGACGTCCCGATGCTGTCCGGACGACCAGATCACGCTAATGCAAATCCGGACGGCCCGGACACGAGTTTCGTTAGCCATCAGTTTGTGCATCAGTGGCATTATGATGTGCATTAAGTAATCATCTATCAGTAGCTATGTTTTAAGTTATCATAGTTTTAGATTTACATTATTTGAAAAACAGGCAGACAAAGGTGACCGAGTTTCTTCCGCCGCTTCTTCTCAGCACCAGCCACCACCATATTTTAAAAAATAAAGACAGTATTCGGAATAAAAATTCGTCTTGCAATAAGTTGATGATATCTACCCCTGGTTAGCACTATCTTAACTTTAACTTTAACAAATGTCAAAAGTCTAAAACTCCGTACAATAACACCGGATAAGTAAGTTACGGTTAAAGGTGAGGTGGTGCAACTCAGCCTTAGTGCCTTTTGGTCAGCAATCAATCTGTTTAAGCCTAAGCGCAGACCACCAACTTTTAGTTGGCCGATAGTTGGGCCCGATTCTAATTTGTATGAAGAATTGGTCGATACCAAATCGCACTCGTAATGTGCGCACTTTCATACATACCCATCTGATTAACAGCCCGACCCCACTATCGGCCGACTAAAAGTCGGTGGTCTGCGCCTAGGCTAATAGTCAGAAGTCTTCAATCCAAATATAACATCCAAGGGGCCGTCCATAAATTACGTCATCGATTTTTTCAGATTTTAGACCCCCCCCCCCCTTCTCCCAAAATTGACGTCATTACCAGTTTGACAAAATTAAAACACTTGGTTATAGAATCACCTTTTTTTTTAATAGAGTAATTCTTAAGGAAGGTTTATATGTATAATACATGTAAGTACCACGGGCGAAGCCGGGGCGGGCAGCTAGTATTATATGTAATACTAACGGCCGCCCGCGACTTCGTACGCGTGGATCCCGTTTTACCCCCTTCATCTATTTTACGCGGTTTAGATTTCTTCATACAAATGTTTTTTCCCGCTAACTCCCGTGGGAATTTTACAATATCCTGTTGTAACTAAGCTTTAAGTTTACTAAGGTAGGTACCTGCATGCCAAATTTCAAGCGTCTATCTTACGCGGTTTAGATTTTTTCATACAAATGTTTTTTCCCGCTAACTCCCTTTCCCGTGGGAATTTTGCAATATCCTGTTGTAACTAAGCTTCAATTTTACTAAGGTACCTGTATGCCAAATTTCAAGCGTCTATCTTAAGCGGTTTAGATTTTTCATACAAAAGGATTTTCCAAGATATTAAGATAATTGTACCAAGTTTCGTTAAAATCCGTCGAGTAGTTTTTGTTTCTATAAGGAACTTACAGACAGACAGACAGACAAAAATTTTACTGATTGCATTTTTGGCATCAGTATCGATAACTAATCACCCCCTGATAGTTATTTTGAAAATATATTTCATGTACAGAATTGACCTCTCTACAGATTTATTATAAGTATATAGATTATTGTTCGAGTATTTTATCTGTAGTTATTACTGTATTTGTGTACATCTATGTTGCATTATGTATGTTTATTATGAGTTATTTTATTATTGTACGCGCCTTAGCCGCCTCTCACATTTGCAGTCTCACTTACTAGGTGTGCTGGAAGAAATTTCTTTTTAGAAATAATCTTTTTGTACGTAAACAATAAACTACACTCGACATCAAATAAATCGCACCTCCCGCGACAAGCATTTTCAAACGTATGCATCCCCACTTCCCACCAATATTGGCACCATTTAAAAGCCTAGTTCTAACCTTCATTTCATTAAAGGAAAGATTTTTACCCCAAAAATGTGTCTTTAGAAGGATCCAGAGTCACTTCTTAAAAAAATAGGTAGTTACGCTAGAGCCAACTTTTATGGCTATAAAACTGTTAAGTTGGGATTAATCGCTATCCATTTGTTAAAGAGGACACGTGAAATCATTATTTGGTTTTATAACCATAAAAATTGGTCTAATTGATCCCATAGGTGGGCCCAAAGTGAGGTATTTTTTCAAGTCAGATTTATGGTATATGTTAATCATTTATTAAGAAATTAAATGTGTTTTTCTTTAAGGATATTTATTGGGCTTTCAAATAACACCAATATTGTTGGGGCACCATGATTGTGTCAGAAGAAAATAAGTTCGCGTCGCGGAAGGTGCGGTTTATTTGATGTTGAGTATATNCCTAATTTAGAATGACGTAATATATGGACGGCCCCCAAGTCAAGTTATTCAAAACAGCGGACTGGTGCAGCCTGCGCTGGCCCGCATTATTATCGTGGTCAATACAACGTACTATAACTGGCTAGCCACGACGAAGCTTGTGAATTAGGGATTAACCTGCCCCAATCTGCTTCTAACTGGTTTAGGGTTGTCAAAGTTTTGTTGAAATCTTTTTATTAAACAATTTTCGTAAGAATAAGCTTTTTTTTCGGGTAGACGGGTCTTCTTTCACAGTAAACGAGTTTCTTGATCTTTTTCTCGATCCAATATTTTTTTACAACAAAAAGATGAATAAACGTAGGCAGATACCTGAGTCTGATGAACGTAATAAGGCACAATGATTTATGCTGTAACAACGATAGTAAATTAGGTAGTTAGGTACATAGTTGTTTTTTATGCTCAAAGAGATTTTCATTAGTAAAATTAAATTGGTAAGTAGAAAGCGTAATTTGTTCGTGTCGAGTTTAAATTACTTAGATTTCTTGAGTTAACGAGATAAAATAATGATGTATTTGTAGGTAGGTGTATAAATATCACCTATTATCTTGTCTATATCACAAATCGACATCCATAAAATTAAGATTGGCGCTGCGACATTACGGTGCGATTCGACAAATAATTTAATAATTTTCCAAGTACCAACCCTAGCAACGGTCCAGTCAGTCGGCAGATATGTCATCAGCCGGTATCGTACTACCCGCATGCTCGAGGCGAGCATTGAACGTCGCCCAATCGTACGCCTATTGAGATGTCCCTGCAAACTGCCAATGAGAACGAGGCTCTTTCAGCCTCGTACGTGCCATAGGTACCCATATACGGGGTGTCCAAGAATTCGGAATGGCGGCAGCTGCCATTATTTATTATAAATAATCGTCAACATTTCAGCCAATGGCAAATAGTCCACGTTTCTGAACGTTAGGCTCTTTTTAACGTAAGTTCAGTAAAAATAAAAAAATAAATAAAATATTAACAGAAATTTGTGCAAAAAGTTCCAAATTCGATGCCGCAGAACCCTCCTGCTTTTTTTTCATTTAGCTACTGCTAGGTTAAGACAGACGACGTAGTGTGGGCAGGCCTCCCACTCGGTGGGCCGACGATTTGGTGAAAGTCGCGGGAAATACCTGAATGCGGGCAGCGTAGGATCGCTGTGGAAACATCCCTGGGGGAGGCCTTTGTCCAGCAGTGAACGTCATTTGGCTGAAACGAATAAACGAAAGAAGCCTCCTGGTCCAAGGTGGGAGTACCAAGCTAATATTTGTCGAGTATACTTAGTCTTGATTATTTTGAGAACCCGTTCAGAAAACCGTCCTCCGTTTTTCTTCATTAGGCTCTGTTGGCATAAGTTGCTGCTCGCATAATTATATATAAGATAAATAAAGACTGTGTCGTATAACTGAAAAAAAAAAAACAGTTAAAGCAGTCCTTTACCTGTAGAATCAGTTCACATTGCATTTCCTACAAATTAAGTAAGTAACCTAAGAAACACTAGTCAGGTAAACAGACCATTGTTATCTCAAGGCTGACCTACATAGTCTATTATTGCAGACAGTGATTGAGGCATAAATCAATATTGCAGTCGGGTCAATACGAAATGTCAACATCATTAGCCGATGTATTGTTTGGGAAATGAATACGATTCTCCTAAGGGATGGAATGTGGGGTGACAAGGAAATTGTAGATTTTAGGACAGTTGTAGTCCTGAAAAATATGAATGGAAGTTTTTCTACGGCACAAAGACATCTGCTTTTAATTAAACAGTAGCGACAGAAATTTTATCATTAAATAGCAATTTAGTACTTATCTAGATGAGAATGTAAAGGAAATTACGGACAATTTTAGGTGCTATTTAATTTTAATTATTAGCAGATTAGTCTTAATTAGGTAATAATGTAGGGATTAAATACATAAATTTTCTTTAAATTCCTCCATTTAGGT